GCTGGCTGGCCTGTGCCCAGGCCCTCCTGCCCTCCGATCGCCATGGCCTGCGCCCCAGCCCTCACGTCTCCGATAGCGGGGATCGCTCCGCGCAGGCCAGCCGGCAACCCCAGCCCCTGGGGTCGGGTTTGCTGCCCGGCTTTCCAATGGCAATCACCGGCTCGGGGGTGGGGAAAGGCGGCCTTTGCCCACTCCCTAGCTCTTGCCTGCCGCCTGGGTTGCCGATCACCATTCTTCAGTCCTTCCCCTTTCGCCTCCCATCATTGGGCGTATGCAAATTAGCCGCCATCTTTGTTGGCGGTTAACCGCCATCTTAGTTGGCAGTTGATTTGCATAAGGATATGCTGATTAGCCAATGGGAAGGGTAGCGGTCGTACGCTAATTACCATTTTTCTCTTTTATTAGTGTAGATAAGATTTTAACATTCCTAATATCTCATTGATTACTTTTTTCCCAGCACTGGTGGTCAGACACCCCGAAGAGACCTGGAAAAGGTGCTGACAGGAGAGGAGAAGTAAGAACTTTGTATTAGTTTTCTTTCTTTCTTGTTCTGTTTGCTGCTTTGTTTTAAAATAGCAAATGAAATGATGTATGTTCACATTGACAAGAGATGATTTTTCAGTTTAACATTCATTGCATAGTCACAAAGCATTGTATTGGGTGCTCTGGAGGATATAAGGAAGATTGAGAAATAGTTCATTCAGTGAAGATTTTAGCCCTGGCCGGTGTAGCTCAGTTGGTTCAGTGTTGTCCTATATACCAAGGGGTGGCAGATTTGATTTCCGGTCAGGACACATACCCAGTTTGCGGGCTCAATCCCCGGTCAGGATGAGTGCAGGAGGCAGCCGATCAGTGTTTCTTACCTCTGCCTCCCTGCCTCTCTCCCTTCCTCTCTCTGGAAACAATTTTTTTTTAAGGTTATTATCTGTTAAAAGATAATAACATAGATTTTATTGCTGCTTGCTATGTCCTAGACTTCTGCATTAAGCTCTGGAAATACAAAATTGAACTTAAAATAGTCCATGCTCTCAAAAAGTTTTTAGAGGGATTATAGATAAAGGGAGGGCTTAAGAAAGGATGTGGGGTAAGCGTGTGCAAGACCTATTTTAGGGATGGCAGTTGGACTGGAGTGGTTGGGCAGTAGGTGGTGCCTGAGATGCTAGAAGATAAGGTTGGAAGTGTAGATTTGGACCAAATTTTGAACAGCTTTAAGTCTAGATGAAGACTTTTCACTTCTCTGTGCTTCCATAGAAAGCTTTTGAGCAAGGACATGAAGCCATCAGATTTGATTTGGATGCTGACGTTGGTGTGTGTAGGACGGGTTGGAGGGGAGGAACTGAAGGCAGCGCATGGTTAAACTGAGAAGGCTGTGGGGAAAGAGAAGGTTGAGAAAGCTTTGCAGGGGCCAAATTGCAAGGAGTAGGTGACTTAGTTGGGGAGGAGCTGGCTAGATTTGAAGACACCAACCAGAATTTTAACCTAAGTAGCTGAGATGATGGTGTTCACTAAAAAGAGAGGAGGAAGCAGGCCCTGGAAGGGAAGCTGAGGAGTCCGTGCAGAAATATGAGTGAGGAGGAGGCCAGCTGAGACGGGGTTGGGGCGGGGGGTAACCTTGGGAGGGCAGAGGAGGCTTGAAACAGGTGTTTATCTGAATGGGATGGGCCCAGACGTGGTTGCTACATAAAACATGCTCTTCTCAGGGCCCTCAGACCTGGAGATCCTGGATTCTGTGCCCGCGCAAGGGTGCCAATGCCCTCAAACAAGGACTATGTTGTCAGGCCCAAGTGGAATGTGGAAATGGAGTCGTCCAGGGTAAGCAAGCAGGGGAACAGCAAGGTGGATCTCATGCCAATTACTATTTTATCTTTTAGTTCATGTTGAATAACTGCTCTTGAGATTTATCTGATTTCAAGAGAGCTGTTCTCTGCTCTTCTATCCAGCCAAGCCACGTGTTGCTAATGAGCTTTACTTCAGACTTAAAGTAACATTATCAAGTCAAGATTTTTCTTATTTATCCCTTTATTTCAACCAAATCTTGGACCTAGTGTTCTGATACGGTCATTTTTTTTAACTATGAGAATCAGAACTCACCTGCTTCTGCAGTGTCCCCTTCCTTCCTCTCCACTGTTTTAAGTAATTCTGTTGTGAAATATTTAGAGTAGACACTTCCTCTGCCATCACTGTAAATACTGCTCAGTGATCTTCATTGCTTTTCAGTAATCCTCTTTTATTCTCCATTCCAACCGTTCTTTCTAGCCTGGTATTCTTAAAAAGGGCCTAAACCGATTGGAAAAGCATAAGAGGCGGTTTGCCGAACAGAAACGACTCAGCAGAGTGCACCGTGCTGTCAAGTTCAGCATTGAAGGCAACAGGATGCCCCTGTAGGCCTGGCCCTGCCAGAGCGTGTCCAGGAGGTATCCCCAAGGAGGCGTGCTCTGTGCATGTGCTTGAATTGTCAGTAGCTGAAGTGAGGACGTGTGTGTGTGTGTGTGTGTTTGCTTAGCCAGACAAGGCCAGGCCCACTTTGAGTTTCTGAAGTAATGACCCTCACAGGCACTGAGTGACCGTGAGGTCTTCCTGGACATCTGGAAATGGACATGGTGGAAGTGGGCTCCTTTACTGGCACCTAGAGACCCACAGACAGTCACTTCCCTGGGAAGCATTTTGGTCTTGACTGTGCCCATTTTTATTAAAAGGACTTTGTTAGGGCCTAGGACCATAGTGGTCTGTGTTACAGGCATAGAAGCCAGTTAGTAACTTCTTGGTGGGAGGGATGTGGCTTCTTTTGCTACTGTCAGTGGCTCAGCAACGTGCATTTGAGGACTCATGGCATGAAGCCTGACACTATTTAAAAGATAAATTTGATGACTATATATTTGATATGTGGTTGGAAATAGACTTTGGAACTTTCATGAAGCCGGTCTCACTGACCTGCCGTGCTCTGAGAGTGACAGAACGCCTTCACCGCAGTGTATTCTGGACAGTCTGAGTGTGCTGGTGCCTCCTGTGACTTCTCCATGACCCCACCTTGGCAGCTACTTCCATGATTTACATTCACCTTTCTGCCAGTTCACTTTGTTGTGAAGCTAATGTCTAAACAAAGCCTACTTTCTTATTTGTTAGAATAAATAACGGGTAGAAGAACAGTAGTTCAGGGCCATGAACTTCTTCATCTATAATTCCTGCCCGTTTTTTCTTTTATCCATATCGATGCTCCTCGATATCCCTTCACTCCTGCCCGCCTCCGCTCCCCCCCGCACACACACACACACACACACACACACACACACACACACACACACACACACACACACACACACACACACACACACACACACACACACACACACACATTCCTGCTTCTTTTTAGCTTAACTTTTCTCACTGCCTCTTCCCTCTTTTTATCCCTGTCTTTCCTATTTTCTCTTCCCCAACACAGGCCTTGGTGAGAGTGGAGAATTACAGTGTGGCAAAGGGAATGTCTTAAGCGATCTGTGTGACCCCCTCCTTTGGAAGCCTGCCTTTCGTCCTGGGGGGATGCGCCCCTCTGCTGTTGTTGATGGTTCTGGTCCCGTCTTCCTTCCCTGTGGCTGAGGAGGTGGTGGGAGGAGGTGACCCAGCCTCTGCTAGAGCAGACAGGTGGCCAGCGTGAGGAGAGGGAACTTCTAGTGCAGTTCCTTTCCTTCATCCTCAACAATCCCAAGGTCATGAGGTGTCGGCATTTATCTAGGCCTGAGTCTGGCTTTTGGAGCTCTTGAAAAAATACATGTTTGGGGGCTGGTGGCCTCATTTTACTTTTCAGTTCATTGTCCTTAAGCCACGTGACTGTCTCCCTGCTCAGGAGGGGTTCCTGCATGTTCCCTCGGGCCCCACATTGCACCACCACTAATGAGTATTCACACAGAACATTGCGCACGAAGACAGGTGGAGTGAGGCAATGACTGTCAAATGGAAGTGTTTGTTCATACAGGGGTGGGCAAAAGTAGGCTTACAGTTGTTCGAATGGAAGATAATACAATAATGGGTAAATGATAATACAAAAATAAAGTCTATTTTGTGTACTCACAACTGTAAGCCTACTTTTATCCACTCCTGTATGTCATTTTTATTTTTGAAGTTATATAAATAAACATTAAACACTACAGAATAACCCTGTTTCCAAAGTCCTGCCCTTCCTCTAAGTCACCATTGATAATAGTTTGGTGTGTTAAATATATCTCCCATAATGCTTCAAGCTTAGTTTTTTCTTGTTATAATTGTAGAAAATACGAAGATGTAGTGCAGAGAAAAAGCACTCACTATTCAAAAGCACTTTGTTATATTTTTTGCCTTTTTTCGATTGCTATTTTAATTAAAATTATGCTATATGTAATTTTGATCACTTCTCCTTAAATCACCTTATAGATTTATCATTTATAATGGCTGCAGAGTAGTGTATCATGTGAAAATGTAATTTGCTTATTCACTTCAATAGTTTCTGATTTTTCCTCCTAAATAATGCAGTAGCCTACACTACATTGTATGTTTATATGTTAGTTTATGCCATGTAGTGCTTTTAAATAACATTAAAATGACAAAAGCAATACATGCTTTTATGTAAACTTTTAATAAGAGAAAGCACAGAGAAAATTGTTACTCGTAAATCCACCGCACCTTAACATTAACATTTTGAGTTACTTCTTTTTGGTCTTTTCTAAATGCATACATAAACATGATTGCTGGTTTTGGGTTTTTGAACTCTTAAGCAAAATCTTCATCATATTGTATTCCTTGTTGGGTTTTGTCTTTGGCTTAGCATGGTAAAAATTCTTTTTAGTGACATTGTGTCAGAATATAGTTGTACCATAATTTTTTTAAGCAAACCCATCTTGCTAATCTTTTAGGCTACTTTTGGTTTTTCACTGGTAAAACTGTGATAAAAGTGTTCACCAGTGCTTTGCACTTTTACCGTCCAAAGGAAGTGGTGTAGAGTTGATGAATCAGAGACTAGCTCGTTGAATTTAGTGTGTTAGCCACAGTGCTCTGTGTGAGTTCAGGCTTGGGGTAAGGGCAGCTGGCAGCGACCAGCCTCCCAAGCTGTAACTAGGAGGAGCTCAGCATTTCAGTCGCTGGGATGGGGGCTCAGACTGTAGAGGAGATCTGGGAGTGAGCAAGGAGAAATCCAGGCTGGTGTGGAGAGCTGCTGGCAGTTGGGTAGTTGGCAGAGATCTGAGCAGGTAAGACTTCCAGTGTGGACTCACTGCAAGTATATAAATCAGGTTACATTGTCTGAAAGGAAGTCAGATACTTGGGCCTCTTCAGGAAATCTGAAGACAAAACTCCAAGGTCACATGGCTGATGTTCAAAAGTCCCCTTTCTTCATCCCTCCATCTCTCTTCCCCCAAGGGGGTATTCAGTAGAGAGATGGGAGCACAGCTCTTTCTCGTCTGATAGTGAATTTGTATGCTAATTAGTATTAGTGCCACATATTCAGATTGATATGAAGTAATATTTAGAATTGGGATATTCCTAGAAAATCTAGGGTTGATGATCAGCATGATTCTGATTCAGAGATGTTCAAACTCTGTAGAGTTTCTTGCTTTGTGCTTGAGTGTGGATTTTGAGTCCAGAGGTAGGATAGCGACTGGGGAGGCTCCCGGCTCAGGAGCTTCCCACACCAGCACTGACCCTGGAGCGCCTCCCAGGCCCTGCCTTCCTTTAGCAGCTTTGCCTTGAGCTTCCGGGTGACTTTCTTGTAAGCATGGGCAGGAGGGGCGGAATTAGGAAAACCCACCTCTCTTTAACCATTCAGATTCTTAGAGGTTGGAATTGTTAGCAACCCTAGAGTCAGCAAGACGAGTTCACCTCGATCTTCGACATAAATGGCAGACCTTTTTAGCACTTCTAAAAGGTGTCGATTTCTTAGAGACCACATCTTTTTAAAACATAAAATATAAAAGTAATAACCAAACCTTTAGACATAAAGGACAAGCAGGAAGAGATATAAGAAATAAGAAACCCCTTGGATTGACTTAATTTTCTTTTCTTTTTGTGTCAGATATACTTGTTAAACCTAAATCTAATTGACTGCAAGCAGTAGTAGTCATCGTCATGGTGACATTTGGAGCACTGGCTCTGTGCCAGCTCTGTCCTTCTGGCTGACGGTATTTTCTCATTTACGTCTCCCAGCAGTCCTGAGAGCAGTGCTGACCCGGGGCGTGACCTGTCCAGGGTCACAGAACCTGCTGAGCAGAGCAGGGGTTCCCCCAGGTGTGGAGCCAGAGCTCCACTTCACGGGTTTGCCTTGCTGACCCTCTGGCCCAGCCATCATACTCACAGCTTTTTCTCGGATGACTCTCCTTTTCCCAGCTCTGTGTGAAGGTGCATCTGTCAAGTGATCAACTCCACTTTAGTTTTTGAAAGGGAAAAGCATACAGGCAAAATGTAATCTGATGGAATTGGGGATTATAGTTTCTATTTTTCCTCCTTTCATTCATCGAGATTTCCATGGACTGAGACAAAATTTACCCATAAGGCACAGACAGAATTACTCTGCACGGAGGGTGTCTTGTGTTTTTTAACATTCTGGGACCCTTGCTCTCCTGCTCCGGAAGTCACCACAGCATGTCTGGTTATTCCCGAGCTGGGAGCTCTCCTGACTGCTGACTTTCCGATGAACGGAGATGGAAGCTAATCTAGGGGCATGTGTTTCAGTGATGGCGCTTGAATTTCCCTCCCACTTTCAGTTTCAGGGGACCTCCAAGAAGGGCATCAGTCGGCTGGATAAGCAGATGAGGAAGTTCACAGACATCAGGAAAAAAAGCAGATCTGCACACGCGGTCAAAATCAGCATCGAGGGCAACAAAATGCCTTTGTGACCTTCTTGGCTCCCCATCCTGCGCCAGGAAATGCGCAATGGACTCTGTGGAGAAAGACGATATTTTAAATTTTTTTAGTGTATCTGTAAATGGTTCAGCTTGTATCAAATATTGTCCTAGCATTTGCATTTCTCTCCGTGTACTTAAAACCATTGGTGTGGGCTTTGTACAGAGGAATACTAGTCCCACTTCTAGAGACTTCACAATAAAATCCAGTCTGGTTTTGGGAAACTGTCTCTTCATTGTCTTAGAGGCTCACTAGTGGGGGTGCAAATTGGTTCTCGGTGAGTGAAAGAATCTTAGCTATGACGGTGGTTTGTGATCTTTCGAAGTTCAGCCCTGCCTACTGTCATATCACAGGGCACGTGCCTGGTCTCTGTCCTGGGTTCCTGACCAGGAGCTTCAGAAGCCTTTCAGTTTCCTGGCTGATGGGAATGTGTTTGTGATTCTAATGAGGTGACTTGTGGTGAGCCCCTCTGTGGCTTTAGGATGGGTCAAGTCACCAGGAGGACCTCAGAGCTCTGTTGTGGAGGGTTGGGACTTCAGGCAGGCCTGACCTGCAAGGTGCTGAATTCTGAGTAGCCGTTCAGTCGCGTCGGTTGATCTTGACCATCGTGCCTAAATGGTGAGGCCCCAGGCACCAAAGCGCAGCGGAGCTTTCCGATTGGTGAGCATACTGATGTGCTGAGATGGCGAAGTGCCTTGATCCCACCAAGAAAGGGTGTGGAAGCTGTTTCCTCCCGGACCTCGCCCTCTGTGTGTCAGCATTTGTCTGGTCCTCCTAACTTGAATCCTTTATAATAAAACTATAGAGACAGTGCTTTTCTGATTTCTGTGAGTCATTTTAGTGAATTCTTGAACCTGAGGGCATCATGGGAACCCTCATACCTGTAAGCAGTCAGCCAGAGGGGACGGGCTCCACCAGCAGCTGGCATCTAGAATGGACAGGCTTGTGGGGACTGGGCCCTTAAACCTGGGAAGTCTGGTGCTAATTCCAGGTTGTTGGTGTCAGAACTGCAGTATCCTAGTCACAGTTAAAACAACCTGCCAGCAAAATTTTGTTTCTTAGTATCTTGTCAGGGAAATTTTCATTCTTTTGATTTTTAAAAATATTTATTGATTTCAGAGAGGGAGAGATAGAAACATCAATGCCTCTATACGCCCACTGGGGATCTGCCCGCAACCTGGGCATGTGTCATGACCGGGAATCGAACCTCGACCTCCTGGTTCATAGGTCCATGCTCAACCACTGAGCCACGCTGGCCGGGCTGCATTCTGGCTGTAAGTCCCAGGCAAATGTAAAACATCTCAAAAGATTCATGAAAAGAACTCTGATTTATTAAGTCTTGTCTATATGTTATGGGTGCTTGTCCGTTGATTGTTGTTTTATCTGTCTTTGTTGCTTATTGTTTGTCTATTAAGCATGCCTTTAATTTAATTTAATTTAATTTAATTTAATTTAATTTAATAAGAAAAGAAACCTAGGTGGCCAGGCCATTTACTGAATTTCCCCAGAGCAAACATGATGTGGGTGAAAGGGCGAGGGCTACGCCCTCCATCTTGCCCCAGGGTAAGTGCTCCATCTTACCTTGGCCACGTGCTTGGCAAGGAGCTTCTTCCCGGAAGTCTAAGCCTCTGCTAGCCACACCCAGGAACAAGACACCGACTTGCTCCTGGCCAATCGGCAGAGCACAGTCCTTTCTCCTCCCCTTACTCCAACCCCCACCTATAAAACCCGTCTCCACACAGAGTTATCTCTCTCTGCTTCCTGTCGCTGTGTTGGCAAGGTCGGGGAGCCGAGCTAGCTCGAAAATAAAGACTTATGCTTTTACATCGGACTGGCTGGCTCCCTGATGTGGTTTCATGGGGATCCTGAAATCTGGGCATAACAGTGGGGTGGGGAGACACGTGGCCGATGGTACATGTCCTAGGAGACAGAGAGAGGTAGAGATAACTAAAAAGGCCCCAGCCCATGAATTCCTAGTCTTTGGTGATCTTGTAAAATGGACGCCCACTCCCGAGAGTGCCATTAAAAGTCTCATTTTCACCATGTTTTTATTTCCCAGTCCGTCATTTGAAATTTGGGTAGATGAGACATTTCTCAGAATTTAGGGATCCGTCTGGGATTTCTGTACCCGGGAAGAGAAAAGGCTAGCTTAAGAGAAGGCGCGCCCCTGCCCAATTTTGGGTGGCCTCTTAAATATGAGCCCCATCTCTACAGATGCTATAGAATAAACCCAAGACTGTTTTTCTTTAAAAGATGGCAAAAATGACACAAGGAAAATATACAGGCTGGGTTTAGGCAACAAAATTAGTGTTTCCATAATAGGTAGTTTTTGAATAATAATGGACCACATTCCAAGGTTAACATTAAAGTCACTGAAAGTTAAGTTATCTCTGTTACAGAATTTGCCAAAGAAAATGCCTTGGATAATAATAATTGGCTTCAAAATCTCAAAATTGTTAAAACATAAATAAATAGATGTAGCTAAAATGAAGGATTTGTGGTGGAGCTTTTCAGTGATGATTATAGGTATATTGGCGGTGGGGGTCCAGTCACTCAGGGGAGACTGGTTGTGCTCTTTTTTGTAGAAGGGGCAGGTCTCATTTCCCACAGCAGCAACCTTAGATGTTATCTCTAAGGAAAAATGTGACAGTTTTAAAATTCAAAGGTGCCTGGAGGCCTGCTTCCCTCCTTCCCCTCTAAACATTCTATTTCTAAAGCCTTTGGTAACTTAAGACCCTGGAGTTTGCTGAATTACATAATAAAAATTATTAAATATCAAGTATTTTGAAATAACAGAATACTGAAATATTAATCTGAGTTTGCCTAATGAAAAATCTAAAGGATAGATTTGAATCTATTAATTAAATATGTCTTATATTTTATTTGAAATATGTCCTTAAAAATGTGAAGATATTACTAATCTTGTTACAGTTAAGCCCCCTTGTACTGGGGAAATGGAACCAACTGTGGTCGAGGGTAGTCTAGGGTACGGGGCAAGTTTATATTAGTAGCTGGAGCAACGGGGCAAAGTTGATTAATAATACCTTGGTAACCGGGCAGTATTAATTAATGTAGCCCTGGTAACTTTGTGTGTGTTTAGCTAACCGTTTTGTAGTTTCTGTGTATAAAAGGCTGGCCTAGAACCAGGTTCAACGCTGTCGTAGGAGAGAACGCCTATGGCAGTCACTGGCCAGTTTCAATAAATCCTCGCTTGCTGCTTAAGACCTAATTGGAGTCGGTGGTCTTACTCTCGAGAAAGTTGGTCCACAACATTTGGAGGCCTCAGCGAGATCCCCAGCAGGGGTGAGAGGGACCCCCTATCTAGGGCAGGAGGCTCTCCCCCGGCAGGGGTGAGAGGGACCCCCTATTTAAGGCAGGAGGCTCTCCCCCATTTATTGCCAGACATGCAGCGAGGACTTATTGAAAAACCCTGCAGGAAGTAAGGCCTGGAGGCACCTGGGGTGAGATCTCACAGAGGGGAGTCAAGTGGAGGGCTGGATGCAGCATTACCTCCCGACTCCAGCCGGTGGCCACAACGGTGGCCACGGCATCTGGCAAGTGTGACTTTCAGTTGCACTGGGTTTGTCTGTCTGGTGTTTGTTATCTGGTATTTGTTGTCAAAAAGTCATCTGCTTCTGTGTGCTCCCCACTGCAGTGTTTTCCGGACTTCAAGGAGCGAGCTGCAGGTTCCGGGCAACCTTAGGTTTCATTTGTCTGGTTTGTTTTGTCTTTGTTCTTTGTTGTCTTTGTCTTTATCAAAATGGGTTAGGGTCAGTCATCTTCGTCGACCCCCTGTCAGTCAGGCTCACTCCGAGTGAGTGGGAGAGGAGCTTGATCACCCCCCGGGAAGCCATAGAGCTCCCTCAGGAATTGGGAATTAGTTAGGAATTGGGTGGATTGTTTAAACTATGAGTGAATGTCTGGTGAAAGTGTATGAGTGTGGAGTGAGGGGGCCTGCCCTCTCCTCTCCTTTATGTGGCTCCACGACTTCGGTTACGGAGTCCGAGTGGGCCCCAACCTGCGGTTCTGCGATTTGTCATATGGCATAATGGTGACTCACCCCCAAGTGGAGGTGACCAGGCCCGGGGTTTATACGGGTGCACCTTAGCTAAGACGAATCTAAGCTCCCAAGGGACGCGGCCAGGCGGGCATCTGATGAGGATCTGTGAAAACAGGTCACCCCCTCCCTTGTCTGTCTCTCACCACCGATCATCATGGGGTCGGGACAAAGTGAACCCACTGTTCTCAATTGCATGTTGGAAACAGCTGTTTGTTTGTGTGGGACTAGCCAATTTACTCTCATTAACTGGTCTGTATGAAGTGAAAGCTACTTTAATTTATTCTGCTTTTCTGTTGATACACCTGGCTGAACGTTTGGGCTGGACCCGTAATGGTCTGCAAAAGTCTCTTGGCAGCAACAAGAATTATTTTTCTCAGAGTCTTTTGCTCATTATTAAAGGGGAATCAGCCCACTTAGCTAATAAAAATTTCTGTCTATCAGTTGATCTTACCTAGGTTGTAAATTTACTGTATTAAATTGAAGTTCTAGGGTAGATTTAAAGGTTAAGATGTTAATGCTTTTGATTTGC